CTAGAGAGGTTGCTGGCTTCATGAGCTAGAGGGAAAATTTGCTTTATTTTCATAATTTCTGTATAACCATGATGTGATCAGATTAATCTTTGCCACTGCCCCTGAAGCAGGCTGGATGTAGGTGGATTGGCGTTCCCAAATTTTAATATAACACTCAGGATGTACACTGCATCACAAGTAATGACTCAACAGAAAGTCTTCTGGACTTAAGAGTACACATCAATCATATTGTTGAGTGAAAAAAGAAAAACACGTGATATAAAATTTTAGGCCACCCACGGGTAAAACTTACATGAACGTGAGTACTCTGCTCTCATAACTCCAGAAACAATTTTTCTCTTAAATTACTTATTTCTCAGCTCCCTTTTAACTGTTCCCAGGATCTTCACCTCTTCTGGCCCCTCGAAGATGTGAGAGGAAGTGGTCAGACAGTCTTTTATCTTAGGGGTGAAGCATCTTTACAGATATTTGGTCCTCTTGTTTTCAGTCCAGTGGGTACAGGAGGGAGCATCTGTATCAGACTGGCAGAGTTTGGTGTTAACAGAAAGAAAATTCCCTTTCCTGGGTACAACACCGGTAGAAGATTAAATGGGTAAATGCATGCTTTTCGAAGTCCTGTTATATTTTGATTGTCTGTGCTTTGAAATACTCCAGAGATACTTACTTACATTTAAGAAGGACAGAAAAGTGTAATGAGACATGAGGCAGAGGGAGGTAAATTTTTCATAAATACACTATGAAGGAGTCTAGTTTTGTTCAGAGAAGAGAAGCATGTTTTTTTTATTATTTCATTTGGAGGAAACTATTCAAATTCTTGATCAAGTCTTTTCAGACTCAGTCTGTGAATTTAATGAAAAAGAATTCCTATCCAAGGAATTTTACATCTTTCCCAGACACAGAATTGGTGACAGTGGCTGGTTTTCCAATTCTTGGTAAAATTGTAAATACCTCTGGCTTTACACAGAGCCCATAAATCTTATCTCTAAGACATCTTATTGGCTTAATAAGCTAATTGTCCTAAAAATGTGGCCTCTGTGAAATATGATGTGTTGATCTAAAGTATTATAATATTATGAATGAGTAAACTCTTGTGGATCTCTGTCTAGTAGGGAATACATAGGAGGTAGAATGAATGCCCAAAGAAAACCCATTGTTAAACAATGGATACACACCCACACCCATATATATATATATATATATATATATATATATATATATATATATATATATGCCACTATACCCTCCCCAAAAATAGGCAGTTGAAATCAGATTATAATTATATTGCTAAATAGAAAAAAATTGAAATCCTATTTTAGAGGATTTTTCATATAATAGATTCCTCTTTCTGTTTTTAATAATATTTATCACTAGCTGATATTTATGTTTATATACATGACTTGTTAAACATCTTTCAACTTTGTGTAAAATGTCTCTTTCCTGCTCACCCTCAGCAGTCTAAAGTTATGGTGTCTATAACATCACTAGTTTCCAATGGCCTACAATTCCCATTACTTACTCACATGTGTGCTTTCTTTCCTTTCCTTGTGTCTGGATTATGCCATGACCACTTTGAAGCAACAGAATGTAGTGATGACATTAGTGCCAAGTCTTCAAGCCTGGCAGCTCTGCCTTTCTGCTCTACCAGGCAAAAGATCTTGTGTTCTGAACCTTATGGAGGATCCCAGGATGAGGGTGAGGGACATTTCTTTTGACAGTTGCAGAGGACTTTTCAGCCACAATTTAGAACCAAATTGCCAAACACATGCAAAAAGCACTTTAGAACTGGCTTCTTAAATCCAGCTGAGCAGAACCAGCTGTCATCTTACACAGAAAAAAAAAATGAGCTACCCCTGGAGTCCTTTGCAATTTTCAGATGAATGAGAAAATAAATAATTTCTGTTGTTCTAAGTCTGTTTTGATGTAGCAAACAACTGAACCATTGATTTTTCCCTTGTGAATAATAGTCATCATATTTAATTGCATTAATTCTTTGAGAGTTTCATACTATATTTTGATGATATTTACACCCTCTCACCCAACTTCTTCAAGAATGTGGAGAGGTAAACACTGGGGGCAGAAGGGTTAAAAAGGTAGTGGATGGATAAGGATTGGAAAGAAGGGGTGAGAGGAAGGTAACTAAAATGAAGTGTGCAAGAAGAACATACATGGAAACCTATGATCTTGCAATCCAAGTAAAAGATAAAGTAAGATAAGGAGGGATATTAAAACTTATGAAAAATGAAAGAACAGACAGAGAGTAAAGGGAGCTAATGATTTAACCCAGGGTGGTATGCAGGAAAGAGTGGTAACAGTGGATTAACCAAAACTAAGGAAGTACCAAGTAGCCTTATTAAACCCCACATGTTTGAAAGAAAAACATATTTGAACAAAAGTAGCCCACAATAGTAAACAATGCTGCTCTGAAAAAATAAATAAATAAAAAATAAAACAAAAACAAAAACAAAACAATAAATAAAAAACACCCAAAACCCAAAACCCAAGAAACAAAACAAACAAACAAAAAAAAAATGGATTACTAAGTGAAAATCTCGGTGCCAGACACAAGTTGCCTCACTGTGAGTAATTAGTCAGAAAGGCCGCAGAGCACCCAAGACAAGATATTTGTTATCGGGGACTATGGGGGTCCAGCCCCTTTATAGATGGTAAGACCCTATTGCTGGACACATTACACCATTTGGTTGTAGGACGCAGATAAGTCAATCTTGAATTGACCAGGAAACTCTACCTACTGACTAGCTTACATATAGTACTGGAATGACCAAGACAGTCTGCTGGGGAAGTAAAGACAACGGTGAATTAATCCAGCGCTGGACCTTAAATGATACAGCTCCAACTTTCTATTCAAGATATGCCCATTTGTACAGTAATGGCAAAACTGTTTCGGGGTGTAACTAATCACTATCTTCATTGAACTTGAGGCCTGGTGCACAGAGCGACATTTCTGCTCAGTATTGTAAACATGATCAAAATCTATGGCCAGGAATATATATATTATAGGGAAGAATCTAATGGTTTTCAAGATGATCATGTTGCCAAGTTGCCTTCTATACACCTAAGTTTATATTCATAAGTTTGTTCTGATCTAAACCTTGGTCAGATAATTTTTTAATCATTCCTCTAATGTTTTAAAATTATTTATTTTTTGAGATTATAATTATATCATTTTCCCTTCTCTTTCCTCTTTCCAAACCCTCCCATATACATGTCCTTGCTTTCTTTCAAGTTCATGACCTCTTTTTTCATTAATTGTTGTTGCATGCATATATTTGTGTACATGCCTATATATTCTAAATATGACCTGCTCAGTCTGTATAATGTCTCGTGTATTTATGTTTTGGGGGCTGACCAATGGGTCTGTTTTTCCCTGGGTAAGAATCTCCTACTCTCCACATTCCTTAGTTGCCTGTAGTTCCTTGAGTGGGGCCGAGGCCTCGTGGGTTCCCCCCATTGACTTTGGCACATCTATTGTTCTTGTTCAGCTCATGTCTATTCAGCAGTATTGGTGAAACTTCTGACATTACCAGGAAACACAGGAAACAGAGTCTCATAGCAAACTCCCTGATTGGCCTGGTTCTTACATTCACTCCACCACCACCCCCTTCTGAAATGTTCCCCAAGCTTTAGGTACAGGAGTTGTTTTGCAGATGGATCCACTGGGACTAGGCCACAGCTCTGCATCTTGATGGGTTGTGGTTTTCGGTAGGCACCATAGAAGGTTTCAAAGGAGGAAAGCAACCGACAGTCTTACACAGCTATGATGCCTAGGAACCACAAGGAACAAGCATGTTAAGGTAATCTTAAGGATGCAGTAGTTGTATGCATACTTTGGCTCTGCAGTAACCAGCAGCTCACTAACTGGACTTAAGACTTGCTTATCAAGAGAGAAATCATGCCTGGTACTAGAACCCTAGCCAACTACCCAGGGCTCGTGAAGTCATGGATCCTAGAGGAGAACTTACAACCACCAATTTCCTAAACCCATATAATTCCAAACTGCATTTTAAATACTTATCTTTAGATTCACATATAAGTGTAGTTATCACCCTTCACCAAGGAAAACTCTCTTTGCAATGGACAAGGAACAGAGAAACTTATTTCAGAATTGCCTTACTGGTCAAAGTCCAGAAGACAACACTGCTCCTCATCCATGAGTTCTTACATCCTTTCCATCTTTTCTTGCATGATAGTCCCTAAGCCTTGGAGGGCTATGTTGAGACAGATGTCCCCTCTATGGTTGAGCACTTACAGACTTAGTGTCTTCTCTAAGTACTTACCATCGGAGTCTCTACCGAGGCAATTGGTGAATGACAGCTGACAATCATAATCACCTGGATTTCTTTTCATTGATGTGTTAGCACGTGTACCTTCACATTTACATTTTAAAGATTTTTAAGTCAATCTACTTTTATTTCCTTAGTCAGAGATAATAAAGAAGAAAAAACAGTCTTCAAAAATAGCATCACAGGCACAAATCATTTCTCCTTGAAAATTCAGCAAAGGAAATTCTTCCCTCTCCCTCTCTGGCTATCTCCCTGTGTATTTTGTTTGTGTACATTCATTTAGCATATGTTCATATTTCTAATATAAATAAGAATCCCCCTGAGAAAATGACCTGTTTTCTATCTCCTGCTTAAACCTTGAAAACTAGAAATGGTTATGAAAAATATAATGCTGGGCGTGGTGGCTCACCCCTTTAATCCCAGTATTTGGGAGGAAGAGGAAGGTGGATCCCTGTGAGTTTGAGATCAGCCTGGTCTACAAAGGAAGTTTTCCAAGATAGCCAAGGCTGTTACACAGAGAAACCCTGTCCAAAAAATACACACACACCCAAAAAAGGAAAGGAAAATATCACTATATATGCAGTGGCAACAACAACCAGAACATACATTTGAGAACCATTAACTCTAATGTCTTCACAGTAGAGTAAGTTCTTCACACAGTGAGAACAAATGAAACTACCTGACAATGTTGTGACTAACCTTTGGAGCAAGTTTCCAAGCAACTTTGCCAGATAATTATTCTGAAAGGAAAGAAAGAACAAAATTATTTCTGAACTTCTCTCATCCTAAGAATGTTTTGAAACTTCACTTCTTGATTTATGAAAAACAGTGGACAAAGATGCTAAATTCAAGTCTCTGGTTCCTTCTTAGACTGTAAAACCTGGACATGTCTCTAATATCAAGAAATCCTAAATGGTTACGGAGACTGTATGTATCATCAGCTAATATCATAAATCAGGTATGGGATCTTGCCCATCAGAATAGAAGATTTTGAGGCATATTGTTTTGTTTCTGTTACATTTTAGACTTTTAAAGTCCAGGGAAAATTGGTTACTAATTATTATTACTAAGCTGAGGAGCTTCTAGGTCATGTATTTGACTAGAAGTAGGAGCTTCTAGGTCATATTAAATATATGACTGTTATATTGTAAATAAATTAGGTATACAACTTCTGGGTCATATATTTAATATCTACAGAATTACAGTGGGCTATAAGAAGCTTCCATTATATATTCACTTCCACCTAAACTAATAATATTCATGGTTTGCAAACCGGAGGGTAAGGTAACAAATATACATAGATGAGCTCATATCAACAATTATACTCAAGAAAATTCCAGACTGAAATAAGTCTTGGATGGAAGAAAAGGATTTAAGTATGAAAGTGAGCTGAATAGGAGGAGCTGGTAATGAATGTGATAATGGTTCAGAGGCATAAGTTATGGAGAATGCTGCCTTCTTTAGGGCTTTATCATCTTGCTATGAGAACTATCCATTGAGACCCCACACACAAGAGGCATTTCACTTACAGCATTAGCTACTTTATAGAAAAAGACTGGTAGAGAATCTAAAAAGTAAAATGAAAAGAAGCAGAAAGTTCTCAGAAAAGGGAGATCAAAGACAGCCAAGAAAAACTAATCAGAAGGAAGGTGGATCACAGTAGGAAAAGACAAAGCAATGCACATAAAAGAACAGACAAGTGAATAAATGAACCCAAAGACATAAAAATTGAACGTATAAGTCAATGAAATAATGAATGAAAAAGAAGCCCATGCTTGAGTCTCAGAGAAATTCTCTTGTTAAAAAATGGAAGGTTTGAAAGGGGCAGAATCAATGGATATGATGAAGTGAAAATGAAAGATAACATTGAGGAGGCCAAGAAGTCAATGCGAGGAAATTACAAAGAAGGTGAGGACGTGAATGCAGGAAGCACGGAGCAAGGGAGAAGCGCAACCAGGTTTAACGCACTCAAACCCTCTTCTGTTTCTTAGGCATCACCTTATCTTCGTCAGACATGACGCTTCCAAGGATTTTTTTTTTCAAAAAATAGAAAAACAATACCCGCCCCCCTCCCTGCCACGTGCAACCAGAGGATTTGCAAAATATTATACTTCCTTGAACTGTGGAATATGTATTCTTTTAAATATCTGCTACAGTGACAGGTAATTTTCTTAGGATCTGAAACTTTGATTTGGGACAAAGAAGGCTTTCAAATGAAAAGCACAGGGAAAGAAACAAGGAAGCAGGACTAACTGTCGATTGGTGCTGGTTGTCAGCTCTTGACAAGAAGGAGACAGGTGAACAGTCACCATGCATGCTAAGCAGTGAGATTCTGCTTCGGTTTCCTCTTTAATCCCCTGTGCAGCTCTGCCTCATGGAAGTGCCTGGACACTAACACCTGACTCCAAGCCCTGTTCGGTTTGTCTCTTGTTCTCACACAGTTGTGCATTGTTAGCTTTCGCTGTTCCTTTAATAAAAACTTTTCTCTGTATCATTAAGGAAAGGTGACTCATTAGACTCTAATGATTAGATAATCTTCCTGCTTTCTGGCTGTACACTGGTCACATTCTCCCGTCATCAGTGATGTCTCCAATTATTCAGAGTGGCAGTTCTGCACATCAGAATCATCTGAAAATCACGATGGAGGCTGATTCCCGCTTTCATCTAGTTTCTGGCTCAGTCGAGTGGAGTGAGGCTCAGGAACTGTGTTTCTAAGTTTAAAGACGACACCAATGCTGCAGGTCTGGGACCACAGGTTGCACTGCTGCTGTAATCACTCACACCAGATGGACTTTCTCCAGGACTTGGTGCTTGCGAGTAAGCGAACAGCAAATGGGCATAAAATCCCTTTATTACAACAATGACGTATGTTCAGACCTTTGACTGGAAAACGCATTGAAAATACTCTTCACCATTATCAACAAGAAAACTAATCGTCTGCTATCTACTTATCTATATGCAGCAGAGTATATGAAACCATGTATCAAAATATGTAAAAATACAAATTATGTAAATATTGTAAGTTTACATTTTATAATACATTGCCTCCCATATATCTCTGTTCCAGTCGATCTTGACAAAAGAGAACTTTCTATAAAGTGAATATGAATTATTGTCTGGAGGATTTTAACCTTTATTTTCTATTATCTTTACAAGGAAGGCTGAGGTATGTAGAGAGGATAGATAGAAGTTCCTTGAACTTTGAAAGAGAATTTTAGGTGCTTCTTCATGAAAATATTTTAGTATTAATTCTTAATTCATTTAAGAAACACAGCTTTATTCTTTCCTAATTTAATATTAACTCTGCTTCTTATGCTTTCTAGGTGTGGCAATTCTTGTTTTGTTGTTGGTTTTTAATCCTAGAAGGTAATGATTTCTTCATGCAATTAGCAGAATATTATAGAACAGATGATGAAAACCCAACAATGTTTTTGTTGATATTCACTTGGCCAAATGCTTTGGGAAGTGTGTGTAGGCAGTTTTCTTGGACAAGTAATGGAAGAAGTACTAAGTGCTCATACTTGGCTTGAAATTTTCCTTTGTCAGCCAAAAGGAGAGGCTGATGGCACAGGTCAGGCTAGTTGGTAATTGTAGGTGAGAGTGTGATAGAATCAAAATGTGGCCCATGGATCTCCTGCAAAGAATTACCCAGGATTTGTATAAAACATGTGTATTTATAATCCTACAACATCAGCAATAGGTATTTTAAAACCATACCTGAAAGTCTGCATTCTAACCTAGACATATTATAGTTATAGGCGACAAAGACATTGACTGTGCATTGAGCAAGGCAAAGTATATATCTGGTATATTATATTGGGGGGCATGTATTAAATATTAATTCAACAGATTTTTTTTGTGCTTTATTTTGTTTGCAGTAATAGAGAATCCAGGGCCTAGCACATGCTAGGATGTTTATCTATCATTAAGCTATTACAATAGATTTAGGTTTTGCTTCACATATTCTAAAATCTACTGCGAAGACACAGTGTTCATTTAAAAAACATTTACAAATAACAGTAGCAATGTTATGTTCTGAGCCTTTTTGTTTCATTATCAAGGAAGTTATTTTAATAGATGTCTGAGTATGAAATATGGCTCATAAAAATACTGCCATTGCTTTAAAAATATTTAAATGGTCAGCCTTGAAAACATATATACAAGTAACATTATATGGAGTGGACATGTTATATCTAGGAATATATATGAGTATACTTATACATACATGTACATTTACACAAATATACATACATATATGCATGCAAAAATAATTAGTGATAAAAGAGGCCATGAATTTGAAGGAGACCAGGGAGCACTATATGAAAGGGTTTGGAAAGAAGAAAGGGAAGGGGGAAATGTTGTAATTGCATATAGTCTTTAAAAAAAAAATTGCCTTACCAGGGGGATCGGGATCTGTCCCTGGTCTGTGGGGAGGCTTCTGGAACCCAGTACCTGTGGTGTGACACCTTGCACAGCCTTGGTGCAGTGGGAAGGGGCTTGGACCTGCCTAGGCTCAGTGTGCTGGGCTCTGCTGACTCCCTATGGGAGACCTTGATTTGGGGAATGTGGGGTGGCTTGGGAAGGGATGTGGGGTGTGAGGAGGAAGGGGGGATCTGTGGATAGTATGTGGAGTGAGTAGAAAATTTCTTAATAAAAAAAATGAAAGAAAAAAATGCCTTGCATGAACAAGAATGTGTGTATATAATTCATCATCTGAAACGAGCAATCTTCATAGGTGCAGTTTACTAAATTGTGTTGTAGCAAACTGTATTAATAATTTAAATAACATGTATAGAATATAGTGTACCATGTTAGTCCAAACATCACATTGCAATGGTTTACTAAAGTCTTGACTTAATGAATACACAATTTGACAATCTCAAATTGAACATTTGTAAAACATTTAAATTGTGACTGTGTTCACAAACATTCTTTACAACATTAATTAGATATTAGCTTCATTCATTAAAGGAAAAAAAAATACCTGTGGGAAAAATGTGGATAACCATCTCCAACAAGATAAAACAAATTCAACAAGATGGTGCCTGATGTTTCACAATCATTTTAGCCCAATCTGCCTATATGTCTCTAATCAATGGTTCCTGAGGTCAACCACGAATTTCACCATACATCAGAATCACCCAGATTTCTCCCATCCCTCTTCAGATAAATGTCTGTGCTTCCAGCACACACTTCTGCTGCCAAGATTCTGAGTTTATTTTGGTTGCATTGAAGACTCTTAGCTAATGCAACAGGATTAGTCTCTGGCCATTCCTACTCTGGTCCCCAACATTAACACAAGTGATCTCTACATCTGTAAATTTTATTCAATGTAAAAGGTGGCAAGGGATAACTCTGCCTTCAAAGTGGCCTTTTAGACACCAGCTACTGTATTTCAAAACATTCAAATTGTAAAAATATGGCCAGAATGAATAAAGCAGGAATTCACTTAATCTCACTTTCTAAATGTTATTAGTTTGATAGTCCATGATTTCTGTAAATGCTAAAAATGAGCCTTGAATTCAGATTAGTTTACAGTTTTACCTATCATTTATATTGAGGTTTAAAAAGATTAATGTTCAATGTTTTATTAAAAAGCTATGAACTGTGTCCAAACAGATAAAAAGAAATGTTGAAATAGGTTTCATGTAGGAGAATGTATGGCTTTTATTTTCTGAATAGCAACTGCGATAAATTAAAGTGCTCAATATTGTACCAGCCAGTGTCAGAAATGAATAGT